CCCTTGGCACAGCACAAATGCTGATAAGTCCAAGCGTGGAGGCAGAGATGGGGGATGGGGAGAAGATAGGTGATCCAGACTCAAGGGAGGCTCGCGGGAGGCTTGCATGGTGGCACCGGCAGCAGGCAAATCACTCCATTTCCATGCGCCCCATAGGCAGTGGTGGGTTTCAAAAATTTTTACGACCGGTCCCATGGGTGTGGCTTGGTGGGCATGGTGTGGCTTGGTGGGTGTGGCTTGGTGGGCGTGGCAATGCAAAATCTCCATTCTCACCCCACTCCAGGGGAAGGTTACTGCAAAATCCCATTTCCTCCGTTATCAGCTGGGAAATCTCTCTCTGTCTCTCTCTATTTCTTTGTCTCTCTTTCTCTCTCTCTCTCTCTTTCCTTCTCTCTCTCCCTCTCTTTCTCTTTTTTCCTCTCTCTCTGTCTCTCTCTTTCTTTGTCTCTCTCCATTTCTCTCTCTCTCTCTCCTTCTCTCTCTTTCTCTTTTTCTTTCTCTCTTTCTTTCTCTCTCCCTCTCTTTCTCTTTCCCTCTCTCCCTTTCCTTCTCTCCCTCCCTCCCTCCCTCTGTATCTCTCTCTCTCTCTGTTTCTCTCTCTCTCTCTCTCTATTTCTATCTGTCTGTCTGTCTGTCTGTCTGTCTGTCTGTCTGTCTGTCTGTCTGTCTGTCTTCTGGAGGCAGGGAAGGTGAAAAACAGGCCATTTTTTTTTTTGCCTCCTTTCACTCCCCCCTCACCTCCGCAAGCATTCCACAGACTGAAACCAGGCAAAAACGGATCGCTTTTTGGGCAAAAATGGGTCATTTTTGCCTGTTTTTTGGCCTCTTTTCACCCCCCCTCACTTCCACAAGCATTCTGCAGGCTAAAATCGTAGTTTGAGGATCCATGCTCTAGGCCTTCCTGTCCTCTATCATCCCCCAGAGTCCATTTAAGCTCATGCCGACTGCTTCAGTGACTCCATCCAGCCACCTCATTCTCTGCCGTTCCCTTCTTCTTTTGCCCTCAATCTTTCCCAGCATTAGGCTCTTCTCCGGTGAGTCCTTCCTTCTCATTAGGTAGCCAAAGTATTTGAGTTTCCTCTTCAGGATCTGGCCTTCTAAAGAGCAGCCAGGGTTGATCTCCTCTAGGACTGACCGGTTGGATTGCCTTGCAGTCCAAGGGACTCGCAGGAGTCTTCTCCAGCACCAGAGTTCTAAAGGCCTCAATTCTTTGGCGCTCAGCCTTCCTTATGGTCCAACTTTCATAGCCAGACATTGCAACTGGGAAAACCATCGCCTTGACTATACGCACTTTCGTTGGTAGGGTGATGTCTCTGCTTTTTAGTATGCTGTCTAGATTTGCCATAGCTTTCCTCCCCAGGAGCAAGCGTCTTTTAATTTCTTGGCTGCAGTCCTCATCTGCGGTGATCTTGGAGCCCAGGAAAATAGAATCTGTCACTACCTCCATTTCTTCCCCATCTATTTGCCAGGAATTGAGAGGGCCGGGAGCCATGATCTTAGTTTTCTTAATGTTGAGTTTCAAGCCAACTTTTGCACTCTCCTCCTTCACCTGCATCAAGAGGCTCTTTAGTTCCTCTTTGCTAATTTGCAACTGTCACTATTCAATCTGCATTTGATTCATAGTATAAAGAATAAAACCTGTATTACTCTGTAATTATGATGGAAGCTTGTTACACACTTAAAGGAATTCACACTCTGATAGAACTACTGAAAATCCAAGAAACGGTTGCTGCTGGAGATGACGTAGCTAGTTCAGATGGCAGGTTTTGAATGCAGTTTGAAATTATATTTATTTAGCTAACTTTCTCACCCAGTCTAGAAAACTGTTTTTTAGATTTTTTTTCTGCTGTAGGTCATTCGCCCATATTGAATGACCTACAGCATTAATATCTGGGTTTCATCCTACAAACTTTGCCATCCAGCAGCTAGTCTGGAGCCTGGTTTAAGCCTATGAATAATGTGAGATTATATTAAAAAAAAAAACTTTCTAAGGCTTAGCTTTCATGAAATTATGATTCCCACAGGCAATGGTATCTTAGAAAAAATTAACTTTACTTATTGATTGGTTTTGGTGCCAGACTGTCTGAGGCTTTTGTACTGCTAGGTTAAAGCCATCAGAATTAATGTATATGTCTGCAAGGAGACATGGACAGAGATTCATAATTAGTTAAGGGTAAGTGAAGTTTGACATGAAGGAGGCAATCTATTATAGTAGTGTAAGGTTTTTAGTAATGCTTCTTTTTCGCTCCTTGTGGGCTAAATTCTGATTGTCTTCTTGCTCCCCCTCCTGGCCAAACTGTGATGGTACAAAAAAAAAAGAGCAGAGAACAAGATATTCAAGGTAGCTAGCTACATTTTGTCTTTATAAAACCTAAGTAACACAGAAGAGAAGCAATTTGTCCACTGGGGTACAGGGACGGTGCCAGTTGCCTCACTAAAGCACTCTGCACTTGCTAGAAATTCTTCAGAAGCGTCCATGTGCTCTTTGTGAGCAAATAGGATATTGGCAAGATGCAAGCCCATTGAATTTTAAAAAGGGGACTTCCCTCCATCCCATATTTTCTTGTGTTGAAAGAGAAAGAACGAGTCTTCAAACAATCCTTGTGCCTCCCGAGCTCTTGGTACTTGCTATGGTAGGAGGTGAAAATATTTATTTCTTTGGGATATGGGACTACACATTCTGTAATCGCTAAATCACTGGCTCTTATTTATTTATTTATTAAATTGATATACCGCCCTATTCCTAAGGGACTCAGGGCGGTGAACAGCGAATGATAAAAATACATTTAATACAAACGTTAATAAATAAATAAATAAATAAAAACCAAATAAAATATACTAAACACTCTGGTCCTAGATAATTCAAGACATCCCAGTTTAAAATAAAATCAAAAAGCAATATAAAGGGAAAGTTAGGCCAGGCCGGCCTGCTGAAACAGGAATGTTTTGAGGGCACGGCGGAAAGTGCGCAGATCCGGAATCCTCTGTATCTCTGGGGGGAGCTCGTTCCAGATGGTGGGTGCACTCACAGAAAAGGCTCTCCCCCTGGGGGCCGCCAGTCGACATTGTTTGGCTGACGGCACCCTGAGAAGCCCCTCTCTATGGGAGCGTACTGGGCAGTGAGAGGCTATTGGTGGCAGAGGCGGTCTCGTAAGTACCCCGGTCCTAAGCCATGGAGTGCTCTAAAGGTGGTAACTAAGACCTTGAAGCGCACCCGGAAGACCACAGGGAGCCAGTGCAGCTCGCGCAGGAGAGGTGTCACATGGGAGCGCCATGCTGCTCCCATAACTACCCGCACGGCCGCATTCTGGAATTCTTAAATCTAATCATGTTATACCTATTGTTAGAGCTTCACGACAATCCAACATCAACCCTTTTTTACAGCCTTTGGAAATGGATGTTGGAGGGAAAAGTTGACGCTTAGCTTTTTGAATATGCATGACTGCCCAGTTCCCCTTTTGGGATATGACCTATTTTCTAAATGGCGAGCCACTCTTTCTTTTGATCCTGGAAAAATCATGATGTTTTTGCCAGCTGGAGACTCGTTTTGCCTGTCTTGAAATCCCCACTCAGGCAACAGCTTCCTCATCCAAGGCAGTCTACCTTAAATGCAGTTATATCATGGGTCTGGGCTACAAGCAATCCAGGATGAGCTAAATATATTCCTCCTCTGGAAATTGCCCTGAAACCAGGAAATGAACCTGTGCAAATTAAACAGAATGCTCTTTCTGAGAAAACTAGAGCAGGACTGAAGCCAATCATTTCTTACAGTATGATCTTCTCAAGAAAGGGAAAACTTATTTCAATTTCCAGCTCTGCCAGTTAAGAAAGGTGATGGGTCTTTTCACCAGGTTCTGGACTTGAGAATTATCAATTTACTCACAGTGACAATTCACCCTACAGTGCCAAATCCTTGTACTTTGATTTCACCTTTGTTTTACATGGTTAACTGTATTGGACTTAAAGGATGCCAGAGGTTGTCTGCTTTTTATGGTCTGACAATGAACACATACAGGAGCTCAGCTGTATTGGACTGTCTTACCCTAAGGGTCTGAAAATAGCTCAACCGTTTTTGGTGAAGCCCTTGGCCCTGGCCTACCCAGATAGACCCCCCCCAAATCAGGAACAAATAGCATTGTGTTGCAGTGTCTATGGAGATTCTCAATCATCCAGGTCATGGTTGCAACTGGACTTGAAGAACTGAAGAAACATCTTGGATGAGAAGTGAAACATTTTCAAGGCAAAGCCAAGAAAATCCAGTTGCCTTTTGAAAAGCACATGTGTTGCAATATGTGACAGATTTATATTTAGTGGAACTTTCTGAGACAGAATGTCTCAGAAAGAGACAGGTGACTGTGAATAAGCTAAATCCAACTTCTTTAATACCAGTAGATCAGGGGTGTCAAACTCACGGCCCGTGGGCTGGATGCGTAACGCGCTGTCCACACCCACCCCAGTTTTAGTGAAGGGGGGAAAAGTCACGATACATCATGTGACGACAACATGACAACACAATTTTGACACCCTTGCAGTAGATAATTCACCTGGATGGTTTATCACATGATTGCATGCAAGTTCTTGATGCGGTTTACTTCAGCAAACCAGATTTGAAAGATGAGCCTTTACAAAATGCAGAATGAAAATAGTTTATTGATGGAAGCAGCTACATCTTTGAAAGCCAGCATAAAATTTTAGGAGAGGAACCATTACCTTTGATTAGCTTAAAAGGTAGAACTTGTTGCATTAAATGTGCATTTCAATTGGCAAATGGTAAAATGGCCTTTTTTTTTTTTTCTTGTCAGCAAATAAACCTTTGGTGTTGTACATGGCCATGGAACTTTGTGGCAGGTAAAAGGTTTGATTATAGCAAAAGATAATCAGATTAAATATGGAAAAGAAACATTGCAAATTTTAAATGCCACCTGGGAGCTAAGCGTGATTTACTAGTAGGATAAAGACAGATGGGTCTCTTTGGACTTGAAGGAAGCCTTCTGTCAGGTTTCGATGTCGTCTCAAATAAAATAAATTGCATTTCCAAACAAATAGTCTTTGAAGAAGGCTCTCCAAAATCAAATTTGAGAGAAGCCAGTGGTTGATCAGTAGGCTGTTTGCACATTAACACAGCGCCTGTTGATGCAGACCTGAAAGTCAAAGTTAGAGATTATCAATAGAGTAAGACAGCATTTTCCTACACAACTAAACTCTGTCGCTCCTTAGAACTAATCCAAATTTCTTTCAGGTTCTACATTGTATAAAAAGACAGGGGGAAGTGATTCCTGATCCTTTAAGATAAGCTTTTGGAACCGCTTCAGCACTTCTAAGTGGCTTCATTGAACTGTAGACCTTTGGGCCACAACCGGTCTGTCCTGATTTTCTCATTTCTCTATGCCACCTTCCCTATGGAGAAACCTACAAGTGACGAGAAAGGACTGTCTCTTGACAGTCTGTTGAGAAAGTGCTGCAAGGGAGAAGCACAAGGCTCTGAGAAGGCCAGGCATTTTGTTCTTAGAAGAAAGAAACAGCCCTGGCATTCACCTCATTTGTTGTGGTTGTTGTTTGAAGGAAGAACAAAATAAGAAAACCAAAAGAAGGCTAGATGGATACTTTTTTCCTATGTAGATTCACTGTAGTGTGGAAAATCTAAACCAGCTTTCAGCAAGATCCATTGGGACATTTTTAGTGATCAACCTTTGGAATCAGAGCACATAGATTAGAGGTAATCTTTTACTAACCTTTCCATCTCCACATTTTGTTCCAGGATCAACCATTCCCTCGGGTGAATTGATGTATGTGCATGTAATCTTTTTTCCACCTGAACCTGATATGCAGAATAACTTGCCACACTTTACATCCCTGAAAAGGAAACAGTAAATTCATTCTAATTAAAAAGAACAGTGCAATGAGAGGTTGTTCCTTTGCTTATATCTTGGGTGACTTACAATATAATAAAAAGTTAGAAATTGCTAAAACCAAGTATAATTAGAACAAAAGTTAAAAAATTAAAAACCAAGATGATGGGCAGCCTGGGGGTGAGAATCGCCTCTTCCCGGTCAGCCACCGACACCATAGCAGGCCCATGTTGGGGACCCAGGCCAAGGGGCAGAACCAGGTTTATAGGCTGTTCTTGGAGGCCAGAATTCTGGGGGCAGATCTCACCTCTGACAAGAAAATATTGCCAGGCAGAAAAGGGTTTTCTCCTGCACCTCGCCAGCCAAAAGTCTTTTGGCTGACAGAATCTGAAGCGGCCCTTTCCACTGAAGGACTAGGGCAGGTCAGTCCCAACAAGGTAAGGCAGTTCCACTGATATCTTGGGCCCATGTCATAAAGGGCTTTAAAGGTAATGACCAACTGCTTGAATTGGGCCCAGAAGCAAACTGGCAACCTGTGCAGCTTGTGTAACAGTGGTGTCACATCTGCCATCTGCCAGGGGCCTCCAGGACTGTCAGCATCATTGCCTTTTATACCAGTTGTAGCTTCCAAATGCTCTTCAAGGGTAGCCCTATGCAGTAATCCATCTGGGACCAGGGTATGAGTGACTGTGTTAACAATCTTGACCTTGGGTTAACCTTTATGTGTTTTTGTTTAATGAGAAATGGAGTACCAGAAGTTTGCTCAGATTTCTAGCCTAAAATTCTCATAAGCTCTGATCAGTGGATGACAGGGGATGATGGGAGTTGAAATCCAAAGATTGAGGCACATGCACTAAACATTAGAGAGGGAAATTGCCCTGAAAAATAGCTATTGTTCCATTTCAATCTAATAAAAAATATGAGAGTAAAGAGCAATGAAGATAGAAATAGGGATGTCTAAAATAAGAGGTTCCCTTGTTTTAACAAGAAACAATGGCACAGGGATCTGTGTGTTTGTGTAAGAGCTAAAAGCAGAGTCTGGATTTATACATATCACTAAAAGTTTAGTTGGGTTCAACATGTGGTGCAAATTTAGCCATTGTGATTTCCAAATTGCAATTTATGACTAAATGCAATTCATAAACTCACCAACCAAGGTTTATTCAGTAATATGCAGGGTAAACAAGCTGGGTGATGTCAGCCCAAAGAGAAAGGCTGATTATAGCGTAGTCCTTGGCTTACGTCCACAAATGTGTGAAGAATTTCCATTTTTAATCAAGGCATCTGGTAAGTGAGCTGCACCCAATTTTATGATCTTTTTGCCATGGTTGCTGAGTGAATCACTACAATTGTTAAATGAATCACATGTTTGTTAAGCAAATCTGACTTCCCCCATTGACTGTGATTTATTGGAAGCTGGCTAGAAGGTCGCAAATGCAAGGCCCAGTTGTAAGTCACTTCTTGGAAGTCATTAAACGAATGGTTGTAGGTCAAGAACTATCTGTCCTTTCTGACACAATCTTTTAAAAGGCAGTTCTATCCTCATGGCAAAAAGTTCTATCCTTTTATACCCTACTTTTGTTCCACCTTGTAACCCATGATGGAAAACAAAGGAAAATTGGCTGTTCAGGAACTGACTCACATTTCTATTGTTTTAGCCAGATGACAGAATCATATTCCCGCAGAGGTAGACCCTAAAATATTTCTTATTATGCTTATATTATATCATCATCATAGAAGGAAACAATTTAGATTGCTTACTGTGGATCACATGGAATGTTTACACCTTGTTCCTGTCTGCAGTAGCCATAATTATTCCTGCCCAGGTTATTATCAAAACATATATCTGGAGCCACCTTTTTATCTGTAAGAGAGAGTGAGGAATCAAGACAAATATCTGAGGGTGTAACATGCCAGCAGGATAAAGAACGTTTCAAGAAATCTCAGAGGAATTCCAAACAATTTACTTAATATTTAGTTACTTGTAACCCATTTTATTTTATACCCCATTACTCATCCTCATTATGCTTGAAGCATTCTCTATCTCATACAGTGTTACAATAAACTTGCTTATTCCATTTTATGGACACGAAAGCTGAAGCCACTTTTATGCCACTTGCAGAAGACCATGCAGAAAATTAATGGCTGGAGGGGAATCTGAATCCAGCTTCATTCCTCTGTGTGCTCATTCTTCATTTTCCACCTTTAACACAATTGTACAAAATTCCTGTGCTGGAATGTAGTGAGGAGGGGGATCCCTGGGTGGGAAGGGGTGCAGTCCAGAGAAATAAGAGGCAATCCCCCCCAGATATTATGTGTAAGAAAAAGAGGGTGAAGAGAGCTCCTCCCTAATAGTTTACAGAGTGTATTGTAGATGCAGACAGTAGAGTCCTTAGTCCGGCAAGATTTTGTCTACAGGAGAGAAAGAAGAAAGAACTCAGAATCATCATGTGTCATGCTTGGTTTTAGGCCTGTCAATTCCTGGGCATAAGCCTTTTTGACCACAAGTAGCTGGACCACTTGCAAAAGATTGAGATATTATGCTATTTAACTGACCAAAATAAAGATTTCTTTGTTTGAACTGAGATTTCCATTTTCAAAGCAATGGAAATAATCCAGCAAGTGTCCTTTTATTTTCTAAATCAAATCCTCCATAAATCCAATGGATGGATTGATTATGCAAGTGGAATAATGTTCTGATTTGCGATTCACCATTAAATGCCATCTGACCCTTCATAAATAATTTGGACAAGGGGGTAGAAGGGGAACTCATAAAATTTACAGATAATATCATGCTGGCCAGGAATGGCCATGACTCCAGAAGATGGGCTTAAGATCTAGAAGGATCTCGAGAGAGTCCAACACTCGACTCTGTTTAACAAAATAAATTCAATTGTGAAAAAAGGTAAAAAAAAGTTCCATAAGTAGGCAAGAAAAACCAAATTACAAATACAGAATAGGTGATATCTGGCTCAATACTGGCTCAATACTGTAAGAGGGATCTTGGAGTCCTAGTGGACAACCACTTATATATGCACCAGCAGTGTGCTGCAACTGCCAAAAATCCAATACAGTCCTAGGCTACAAGAACAGAGGGATAAAATCAAGATTATGTGAAGTGTTAGTAAAATTTTATAATGCTTTGGCAAGACCACACTTAGAATATTGCATCCAATTTTGTTTGCCACCATATAAAAAAGATGTTGAAACAAATCCGATTAGACAAATTATTAGAATCAAAAGAAGAAAAAATAATTTCAAAAATCTACAAATACCTACTAGAATTCGATTTGGCAGAAGAATTGGTTAAAGGACAGATGATAGCTTGGGCAAGGAACATTGGGCACAGTATACAGGTAGAAGAATGGGAAAGGGCTTGGGAAAACAATTACAGTATGACAAAATCAGTAGGATATAAGGAGAATCACTATAAAATGTAGTATAGGTGGTATCTGGCTCCTTCGAGATTAGCAAAAATGTACCCGAACGTAAATTCGGCTTGTTGGAAATGTAAACAAGCTCAGGGTACTTTCTTCCACTCATGGTGGCTTTGCCCGGAAGTCAAGAAATATTGGAGGAGAATAAAAACATGGATAGTAGAAATAACAGATCAAGAAATTGAATTAGAACCAGAAATTTTCTTATTAGGCATGATCAAAAGGAACATCAGACAGGACATAAAATACTTAACATTACACATAATTACGGCGGCAAGATTGGTACTAGCACAACTATGGAAAACAGATCGATTGCCAACAGACCAGGAGATAATTCAAAAAATTTATGCATGTGCAGAAATGGATAAATTAACCTTAAAATTAAAAGACAAGGAAGACTCAAAATATTTTGAAGTATGGAATAGATGGTATAAGTGGGTAAATCAAAGGAAAAAAGGGTAAAGACTAAATTTAGGAAAAATCTAAGGTAGCAAATAAGCACCGTAAGGTAGATAGAACAAGGAATAAATTACTGTTTATGTACGTATGTATATACAGTATGTACACATAGGTACATATATTTAGTTTGTCGGTGGAGTTGTGTATTGTATATGCAATTTTAGGATTGAGAAAAAGTGTATAATTTTGTATTTTAAAATTTTTAAATTCAATAAGGTTTGTTTTTTAAAATAAAAAAAGAAAAAAAAGATGTTGAGATTCTAGAAAGAATACAGAGGAAAGCATCAAATATGATTAGGAGATTGGAGGCTAAAACATATGAAGAACAGTGGCACAAACTAGAATATGTCTATTTTAACGAAAAGAAGGACTAGAAGTGACATGATAGTAACGTTCCAATATTTGAGGGACTGCCACAAAGACGAGGGGGTCAAGCTATTTTCCAAACACCTGAAGGGAGAACAAGACCAATGAATGGAAACTAATCAAAGAGCAAACCAACCTACAAATAAGGAGAAACTTTCTGACAGAAAAATTAATCAGGTATGGCTTATCTTCAGAAAGTGTGGATGCTCCAAGACTGGATGTTTTTAAAGAAGAGATTGGAAATCGTATACAGTTTCCTGCTTGATCAGGGGATTGGGCTAGAAGACCTCCAAGGTTCCTTGCAATTCAGTTATTCTGTTAATTCTGACACTTTTAATTAAACCTGTGTTTGGGCTTTCTATATGCAAAGCCTCACTGCACCACTGATCTATGGCCAAGATAAATCTGCCTGTTTACTAAACACTATCTACCTTATGTGAAAAAGGGAGCTTTTTTTCAGTTTCCTTTTTCAACATAAAACCACGCTGAAAATGTTGTAAATAGTCTGAAAGGAGTGATCAGTGACAAGAATCACATCCCTAACATCTGTTTCTTCAGTTATTGTGCCAAATGTAAAGAAAATTTCAACCTTGGGGTTTGAATATTCTTAGCACACAGTCCCACAATCAATTGACGTTATCTCTCATTGAGATTGGCTCAGATCTTTGTCCAATTTGGGAATGTACCCACAACCCACAAAAGCATCCTTTCCCCAAAGTCAGTCTTTCCAGATTTCTTGACTACAACTGCCATCATCTTGGACCATTGGCCATGTTCTCTAGGGATGACTGGAGCTTTAAACCAAAAGATCTGGAGGACTTGGCTCTAAAGCCTCCAGAGAAAGAACTTCATCTTGAAAACATTTTCCATCTGTACAAAACCCTCAGAAGTTGTAGGTGCTCCAACACTGGAGATTTTTTAAGAAGAGATGGGAAATGGCATAAGGTTTGCTACTTGAGCAGGGAGTTGGAGTAGAAGACCCCCCCCCCCCGGCTCCTTCTAACTGTTATAGAACAGAAATGTAATGATGATTTACTATGGATTCAACATAGAAAATATTTGATTAATGCAATGACTGTCTTAGTCTTTTACAATAAAACTATTCTGAAATCCTAAGGTTGACTTACCTGGCCCCATGAGAGCAATACATTGCTTTGTCAAGATGGGACATGTCCCATTGTAGCAGTAACCTTGGTTGTTTTGGCATGGTAGTCCATTCCTCTGGAAAAGATCCGTGGGACACTCAGCAGATTGGCCAGTGCAGTGTTCAGCCAAGTCACAGTCATCCCTTGCTCCCCGGCACACTGCTCCTGCTCCCTTAAACTGTAGGTGAGAATGAAAAATACTTACAGATATGACTCTTTAGGGATCAAGGAGCCAAATCATGATTCACAACACAACATTTTCTCTTCATCTGCCATGCGGATTACTAAGCAAGGCATCCCTGCCCTGTTGCAATTGTGTGTAGTGCCTAGAAGTCCCACTCTGTCTTATTTTTATGAGAAAATGATCGTCATGAAAAGCTCAATTCCTGAAACACGAATTCAACCTGTTGGCTAGCCATAAGGTGAAAATCAATTGGGCTTCCATGAAAAAGCAGCCAAAAGTTAATTAGGTTTAGGTTTATTTTGTATACCGCCCTACTCCCGAAGGACTCAGGGCGGTGAACAGCCAACAATAAAATACATAAATACACAAAATTTAAAAACCCGATAAAATCGAATTAAATTATTTGGCCCAGACAAATTAAAATGCCCCAATAATTTAAAAACAGATTAAAATTTGCGTATTTAAAAAGGGAAGAGATCAGGCCAAGCCCGCTTGATGGAATAAAAAGGTCTTCACAGCACGGCGGAAGGAGCGCAGATCCGGGATCCCCTGTATCTCCGGGGGGAGCTCATTCCAGATGGTAGGTGCCCCCACAGAGAAGGCTCTCCCCCTAGGGGCCGCCAGTCGACACTGTTTGGCTGACGGCACCCGGAGGAGTCCCTCTCTATGAGAGCGTACTGGCCGGTGGGAGGCTATTGGTGGTAGTAGGCGGTCCCGTAAATAACCAGGCCCTAAGCCATGGAGCGCTTTAAAGGTGGTAACCAAAACCTTGAAGCGCACCCGGAAGACCACCGGGAGCCAGTGCAGCTCGCGTAGGAGAGGTTGCTGTACTTCTTATGATATATTTTTATTTCTTTACATGGGAAGAAGCACTGATTTCCCTCCTAAAAGTCTCAGAGAGAAAAATGTCACAGCATTACCAGAGACCTCTTAGGGTATCAACTCGCTGCATCACATTGCCATCATGTGACGTTTCACAACATTTTTCCCATTTGCAGAGCTGTGGTGTATGTGGGCTGTACATGACACATCCAGCCTGCAGACCATCAGTTTGGCACCCCTGTCTTAGAATCTTCCAGAAAGTCAGGAAGCTGAGTTAGGGCATCAATCTCAAACATTGAGATTGTCCCAAATATTTAAATTGGGCTATCATGCAAACTCAGTCAAAGAACAAATATATTATTTTCACAGACGGGACTTAACATGCCAAAAGAGTGAAGTTTAGATTGAGGCAAGGATGAAATTTGTTTAAATTATCCTCCCTATGGATTTGTTCATAAGGGTCAAATAAACTGGAAGAGGAGATAAGAATAGGTTAAAATGTTTTGATCATTGTAAACAGCCAAGAGATATTACATTTTTATATGGCTAGTATGGAGCAGGGTAAAATCTCTCTTGGTGTTAAAAATAAACAAGTCTTACTCTGCATTGCTCGCAACACTCTCCAGATTCACACTGTGCTCCAGGTTGCAGTTTGCAAGTTGTAGCATTACAGCAGGCATTTTGACAATTCTGAAATCCAAAACATATCAAATGATGTCATAGACTTTTCGGCCTGGTCTTTTTTTAATTGGTCTATTTTGAAGAGGGAAATTGCCAAGGAAAAAGATATTTCTGTGATATGTTCCCTCTTATGGGTTCATGTTAGCAAATGCACAAATGGTTTGTTGTTGCAAACGGATGATGGCATATTTCCTATGTGAAAAGAATAAAGCAAATAAAAATATCCTCATCTCCCAATTATGAAGCCCACATAACCTAAAGCCCCCATTTCTTTCTTATTCATGAGGGATTTTCTACTCTTCGTGCCGGCCTTTGAGGTAGTCCAGAGAAGAAGCACCCACCATAAATATTAACACTACCTTTATTGTAAGGTTACAGTAGCAGAATCTTTCAATACTGAAAGTATATTTCTATGCCCTCATCTTTATCAACCAAGAGAATGAGTTGGAGGTTGTTCCTCTTGAGATGTTTGCCATACGCCATGGCTTCTGCAGGCTAATCTACTTCTTATGTGACCATTGAGTAGACTTTTCCTCTTCCTTTTATGTCTCAAGGACATCCTTATAAACCATTACATTTGTATCTACACTACATTTGTAATCTTCACTAAATTACTGTTCTTATAAAAATATTATTTGTGATCAGAGCATAGATTAAAGATGATACGTTCTGGGAGGAAGCAGCTCAAGAGCCTGGATAGCTCTGCAGACAAAGGCACTGTAATTTAACACCAGCTGTCTGCAATTAAAGTAAGTTCGAATCTTGCCAGGTTCAAGGTTGACTCAGCCTTCCATCCTTTCAAAGGTAGGTAAAATGAGGACCCAGTTTGTGGGGCCAATAAGCTGACTTTGTATAAAATATACAAAAGTATGAAGGCTATTGCTTAACGCACTGTAAGCTGCCCTGAGTCTCCGGAGAAGGGCGGCATATAAATCAATTTTTTTAAAAAAAAGAAGAAAAAAAAGAAAATAGTGGGACAGATAATGTGGCCATGTCAACAAAATCGGGGTTTTCAGTAGGGAAGGAATTTATTGGAGAGGTAAAATATCCATTTTTAAAAATATGCTGTCTTCCCCAAATGGTAGTGAGATACCAGTTCTTTATTCCTTTACAACTGGTTATCCAAATATAAGAAACCACTCCATACATACATGTACATAAAGGGCACAGACCTATGCCATTCACAAACCAACCTCTTGGATGGCTCAAACCACTCAGAAAGCCAGATGATTTTTCAAGGATTCCCATTTTTGAGAACATTTTTCAAATCACTCTTGTTGGTTAAAAAATAACTTACCCGAGGAGAGCCACAGTCACATTCTTCTCCCGCCTCCACAAAATAATTTCCACAAACTGCAGGTGCAACAATATCTGTGATCAAGGGTTTCTTGAGAATGCATTGTGGGCGTTTATCAATAAAATACCTCAGATTTTGATCATAACTACAAGAGCTGAACTGGTATGAAGGTTCATATCTGTAGAGATGAACCAAAATAAGACCATGACATCATCCATATTTGGAGTAGGAACAGAATTCATTGCAAAAACATATACAATGGAAAAGGGATGGCTAATGAAGAAATACAATGATTTTTTTTCTCTAAAACTAACAAAATAACTAAGAGAACTCTTTGTACCCCTTGATCTTACTCCCAGATTATGCTCCCTCAGTTTTATTTCCACCAACTTTCTTTTCTTTTTTTTAACAAAATAAATTTGCAATGAGAACTCCATGTGATATTAGCTGATTGAGCTATTTCTTGTGTTTGAGTGGGCTGCCTTCCCTTTTCATGTTCAGTCAGCCTCTCTGTGGAAGGACAATAATGTAATTGAAGGGAAAACAGTAGAATTCTGTTTTTCTTTTCTTCTTTTGGAAGGGTAGTAGTTTTTATATGAATGAATACTTTGAGGCAAATAGAGGGCTAATATACTAACTCTCTATTTGCATTAAAGTATTCCTTGTTGATTTCTTATGTTGAAAAGGTCATAATATCAGCGATGTCTGAAACTGCATATTTAAACCATGCAAACATGGTGTCATAAGCCCACCCAAACAACTTCCTAATGTTAGTACAAATAATTAGGAATACAATAATTGGCTCTCAAGTTAGGGGCTGAAAACAAGAACACAAAGACAATCTGCTGGTGGCCATTAAATAGACAAGATGGTCTTCTTTCAAGGTCAAAGTTACACCAGACTCATTTGGTGGCATTCATTGACCAACATTGTTTTCTAAGCAAGGTCTTCTGTACAAAACACCGTGAAGTGTCTAGAAGTATTAAAAAGTAATCATTATGCATACTTCCTGACTTCATTGCCATTGCATGAAATATGAGACAATGAAGTCCTAGGGCCGTGATGGCTAACCTTTTTGATATCGTGTGCCAAAAGCGGGGGTAGCGCGGGGGGGTCATGTGCACATGTGCCCACACCCATAATTCAATGCCCCCTGCCCCCTCCGCATGCAAACCCCCTGTGTGACCCCCACTTTTGTCACACAATGGCATGGTGGGCCCAGCCGATCCGTTTTTCACCCTCCCCAGACTCTAGAGGCTTTCTTGGAGCCTGGGGAGGGTGAAAAGAAGCCTTCCCCACCTCCCCGGAGGCCAGAAACGGCCCATTTCCCAACTTCTGGTGAGCCCGGGAGGCTCGAAAATCAGCTGGCCTGCATGCACATGCGTGCTGGAGCTGAGCTAAGGCAATGCTCACGTGCCCACAGATATGGCTCCGCGTGCCACCCGTGGCACGTGTGCCATACATTCACCATCACGGTCCTAGGGCTTTAGCAGAAGAAACCAGAAATTGATTAATAGGTGGCATGCTCACTGAGGCTACACAAAACTCTTATACAAGAGTTATGGGGAGTTTTGCACTAGACTAGACCATTGCTGAGAAGATTCCTTCGATTTGTTTTGTTTCCTTTTTCCCTCTTGATGAAGTCCTTAGAATATTTAACAATTAATTTCAAGTATTTAACAATAACTTAATTGGAAAGGCATTAAAAGTGTCCCTCAATCCTTACCCTAGTGTCGGAGACATAATGCATGATTTAGCACGGCAATTACAGGAAGCTGTGTCATGATTAATGCCCAGATTATGACCCAACTCATGGGCCATTGTAGATGCAACAAGACTTGCTGTTTTGCTATGATCCTGAAGAAAAAAGAATACTTTGATAATTGTTAGTTCGTCAAGAAACTGAAATGAATCCAATTATTATTAGCACTAAGTGGCTAAAACTGATGACTAAGTGACAAATTTTGAGTCGAGGATACCATCTCAGAATTCCTCTAGCTCTTCTGGATGCATGTATGCCCACCAAGACTCCAGAACATACACAAATACATCCAGAAAAGAAAACTTTAAAGTCCAGAAGCTATAGCACAGGAGAAGATCAAAACCTATTGCATCCATTTGCTGTCTGCATTTATTTAATTATTAAAACTTACAGGCAACTTCAGTTCAAAAATATTCAGCGGTTTTTGTACGAGTTAGCATTTTCAGAATATTGAAAGCTGAAGTCCTAAAAAGACTTAAGAATGGGTTGGTTTTTTGGAATAAAAATGATCTTCTTGAGCAAACAGGTTTAGGATTACTTCATACTGCCCAGATCCTAACTCTGCTTATTAAGAAAGCAGAATTGTTATCTAAGTTTTTTTTATTACCATGTTTCTCCATTCTTTCTACATGAATAAAAAACTAGGTTTGCTGTTTCTCAATAAATGCATAGCAGCACCTTAACTAATACGGTTTTCTTGCAGGATCTTAAAATATTGGAGTTTTTTCTTTTTAAATAGATTTAGTATTCTCTCATTTTCTCAATGTACATTAATTCAATCATATGCAATTAGATCCTAAATTTCTTGGAAGAAAAGAAGGGTGATTCATGTTTGTCATTAGGTTTGCTAAGAATATCATTCAGAAGTATTATTTGGGAGTATTATATCCTGATTTGACCTGCTCATTTGCCAATTAGAGCACAGTTTGACTCCTCCTGGTCCAGAAACATTACAATATATTGTCACCTTCTGATATATAGCTCATTGCATACAAAAAGCTCATCTACAACATGTCTAGAATGCATTGTGCCAAAATAGGATCAATTGAGGCAGGACCTGGAGATGTCAAATCCACAAATAAATATGGATGAAAATGACCTGGATCAAAAATAAGAAGACACTTTATTTGTAAAGAAGATATGCCTGTATATAAGTTTTCACTTGAGTACAAATAGGTAACAGGTATACTTTCTATTCACCTGAACAATTGCTACAGAACTCCTTGGCTCGCAGAGGCTGCCCACGTAACCAAATCCTACAGTTTGTCCATTGAGGTTAATGCCCCTATAAGAAAGAAGGGAAGGGGGATAAAATTTGTAGAAGATAGAAGCACATTATGACATACATAACTCTCTATGGATTTTTGCAAACCCCTCGTCCCGCCCTCAGTTACTACCAGTTTTCAGAATGTTAGAATTCATTTTAGGCTCCAGTCTCAGAAGCCATTTAACTAAGCAGATCTGTTAAAAATATTCAGGATGCATTTTCACTATATGGTGATTTGGTTGGTGTTTTGTCTATCAATTTAGCTGTGGGGTTATTAAAGACTAGATGGGAAAGGTGATTGGATGACAAGTCAAATCAACATCTGTGGCAAAAATAAAATGGATTTTTTTAAGTATATTTTTATATTCTCCCTTGCACTTAGATCTGCCTGTTGTGACTCTGACCCCCGAGGCCGACTTATCGGAGGGAGAAGGCTCCGAACATGAAGGAGAGGAGTTGGCCAGGCCTCCCTCTCCAGGACCCTCCTCTCTGGCAATGCCTCAGGTGGAGAAGAGATTGGCCAGGAGCCAGGTATCTCCTCGCAGTCGGACAGTGGCGGAGATAAGTCTTGGCTGGATCCACGCCAGCGTCGGAGGGACAGGCGCACGCAGCAGGAAAGGAGGCGTGCCAGAGATTAAGCTGAGTCACTGGACCACAACCCACAGGGGATAAAAGGGGGTGAGGTGGCCATTCAGACTCTGTGACGGACAAAACAAACTACTAGCGAGTCACATTGTATCTTTGAAACAACGTTATCTGCCTTGGATTTAATACAGACTGGACTTGACAATTCTTGAACTGTGTGTAGCTTGTTTGGGTTTATCTGTCGGAGGAACAACCCCTCCCTCTATGAGTAAAGTTCTTGGCAAGCAGCTACTGGGTTGCTGCCAATCCTCTTATCAAAAGAATTTGTTGTCTGCCAGTTTTATTTAACCCCTGGCTATCTGTTTGTGTGCGTGTGTGAGACGGGGACAGAACACTGCCCTTCATCTAGCCCTTAACATATTTCATAAGACCAACTTGCTATGCACGTATCCTATTAGATTGCTCACAACACAATTGTTATTTACCCAATATCTTATAGTTATAAGACAATTAACGTGTCAATTCCCCACTCATGAAATTGTATGACAATACGTAGGCTGATGGGGTGCGGAACTGAGCAGTTAAGACACTGGGCTTGTTTCCTGGAAGGTGGACAGTTTGAAACCTAAATACTGCCTGTCACAGTGAGGTCCTGTTAGTTGCTCCAGCTCCTGCCAACCTTGCAGTTCAAAAGCAGACAAACATAAGCAGATAGATAGGCAGCATTTTGGTGGGAAAGTAATAGCATTCCATGTGCTTTTGGCATTTAATCATGCCGGCCACATAACCATGGAAGCATCTTTGGACAAAGTTGGCTCTTCAGCTATGCTATTGCTAAGCACTATAAATAGATTGGGTATTTTATTATTTTACTTTATTCTTCGTTTATCTGTTGGGTAATGAAAGCATTCATTTAATTGATGCAAACTGGGAACCAAAACATTACTTAATCGAATTAAAAATGCATGTGTAAGTACAGCCAAAGCATAGCAGGATAATCATTTGAGTTTCAATTTTAAATCCAGGCGAAAGGAAATCAAGCTGAGTTTTTGACTTGCAATCATTCAAAGACTTCTCGAAACCAGCTCTCAACCACCACCAAAAAAAAAAAAAAAAAGTGGTTGACTTTGACCAAGAAAAATAGTTCACATATGGTTTAAGTATATAGCATAGAGTAGAAGCTGTGCAAGCACTAACCTCCCCATAATCCTCCACTCCCAGACACCCCCACTCCCTTTCCCCACAATGAGACATACGTGAGTAACTGAGCATTATCATTTCTTCTGTTTGGATTTGCGAGTAAATCGGTTTCTCTCCATCTTCCAAATAAATCCAAAGTAACATTCTGCGCTGACTGCACCTTAATCTTATCTTTGTTGGACCAAATTTCTAGGCGAGTCAGTGCTGCATGAATATTGAAAACTCTGCACATCTGTCAGGGGGACATGGCAACAATCAGAAATTCAAGTACAGGTAAACCTTGAGAAACTTTTGAAGATTAAAAAGCAACTGACATTGGCTTCTATGGGCAGGTAAAAAAATAGGTCTAGGCATCCATAGAAGAGAAATATCTGGAGCTCTGGACTCAATTGTGGAATCCTTAGTGCTCTCTGAGTTTGGTGCTTTGCTTACTCAAGTAAGTTGTTTAGTTAGATAATGAAATGTCTGTAAGGAAACCACCAAGCTCAAACAGCACTAAGGACTCTATATATCGGGGAATAATAATAATCTATTAAGCAGGAGAAATAAATAAAATGATAAAAAGAAGCAGGTGATTATTCTCTGTAATCAGGAACAGAAGAGGAGGAGGACTAAAGGGAGATTTGACTCATGGATCTTCCTGTTGTCTCCCTGATTCTAACTGATCATCAACAGTGAAAATGTAAACCAGGCTAATAGGACACTAGAATATGAGTGTATCTCCTCCTAGGTACCACAATCCAACTCAAATTGAGTTCCTCTCTCCAGGTGTCTTCTCAGGGAGAATTGAGCTTGGAGTAGGCTAATTCTATCCACCTCTTTCTAATGTACAAATTCAGAACCATTAATCACAGCCCTCAAAGAATCTAGCTACAGGTGTAGTTTTGATTGAATTCTTGCAAGACTTTTGAATTTGCATCCTCCCAACACAGTGGTTGTATTCACATAAGAGGCTTATTAACCTAGTTACTGAACTAACCCATTTTCTTGGATGACCTTATATGCGGGATCACTAGCTGGCCAAATGACTTAGTTTTGCCTCACTCCAAGCCACAAAAGTTAGCATTCTTATAGAAGTCCATCTCCTAGCTCTCTTTACCTGGTTAAATGTGTTGTGTGAACACAATGAAAACCTGAGTTGGGACTGAGAGAAGTTTAAATCCAACAAGTGAAATAATTTTTGCCATGTCCTCTTACCACATTTACATCGTTGACTATTTCATATACTCTTGTTCTTATAGCAGTTAAATTGCCGGTGTATTTCCTGTACTACAAAAAAGAAAAGAAAAGTTAGGATGAAATCATAATTATAGGAAGAAGGGAGTGAAGGAGGGAGACAAAGAACATATCTGTGAAAAGATCGTTAAATTTGCTGATTCAAACAAAAATATTTTTATCCAAGCAGTCCAAATAGTTCTTTTGTGCTGATCTTTTAATCTACATTTGTGCCATTCATATATTAAGATCATTAACTTTTCAGCAGCATACATGGGCTCTCCTCCTGGTTGGAGAAAATTTTGGTCAGCCTACTGAGATGCTTTCCTAAACTGGATGCCATATTACCATGTTTAGAGAAGTGTAAAATAAGCATTCTCCACTAGACATCTTACTCTTCATGTGTTGTCAACTTGGCTAAACAAATAGTGCAGGAATGTTTCAAAGAAACCCATATTAAAAGAGGCAGAAACAAAATGCTGTACTCAATGCAGAAAGAAAATGGAATGATATCCAGGATACTTACCATTACATTGTCCACAACTATCAAAAGCTCAATGTATTTTGGGGCCTTCAAGTATTCGTTTTGCTAAACAGAACAATAAACAAAAGGCTGTTTAGAGATGCATTTCACCCCTGTGTGTAACCAACTAGACCTTTCCTGCAATTATATCACACTATGCATCAAAGACAAGGTAAGGGGAGGCAATCAGACATTTTGACCCCCTGAACTCACTCGAAATGGTCAAAGATTTATATCTTTTTTTAAAATGTAATTTTAAAATGATTACTGAAATATTGTTTCAGACTGCTCAGGCACAAGGAACAACAACAATAACAACATGGTTAATTGCTCTGAGTAGTTTCTTTATTGCTGCTCTCCTATAGACAGGAATCTTGCCAGACTAAAGCATACTCTGTGTAACCATTGGACACATCCTGTGAAAGTTTTAGGGAGAAGTCCTAAAATGATTCATTGCTGATCTGCCGCTTATTTCCCTGGGAAAGAGCCCTTCCCTCCTGCCTTCCACTGTTAGATTTCACCACTAGAATACCCAGATTAGGCAGGAAGTACACCTATATTAAGATCTGCATGTGTTAGGGTGTATTACTTGCTTCTTTCCCTAGGAAAGCGTATTCATGTTTTTTCAGCATACGGAACTACAAAGCCAAATTGCCAATTCTAGAATTTCTCTACTTTCTCTCTGACAGATACTTTCTTAACTCTGCTGCACAAGATCCAGTTTGAATAAAGTGACCATGATCAGATAATGAGACTAGAACATTGAAGATAAAGGACCAATTAAACATAACGTGTATAACCACAACTTGCTGAGGATAAAGAATTTAGAAATGGAATCTCCTCTCTTATGAATTCTATCCAATCACCCCCCCAAAGAATTTCTCTTTTACTTTACATTTTAGAAACAAGTAAATGAATCCCTGTTCTCTAACCATAATATATACCTGAGAATTTAATATAAGACTTACTTCAGGAGTAACAACTAACTGAGAGCTCTTTTCGATGGGCTCATCCGATTCCCAAGTTGTCTGGGTTACCCCACAGGTTTTGGGGGTTTCATCCTCCTTTTCTACATTTTCAGCTTTGTAGACTGTATGGGCTTCACTGTCGGAAAGCTTCAAGGGTTCGATAAGGTATGTCTCCCCTTGATGCTTGAAATGTCCTCTGTGAAACAATGTAGAAAAGGGTGGTCAGAGATGGATAACTGATAGAAGAGAATATTGTTCACTGATGATGTTACCTAGTTGGGTAATGAAATGTCTGCCAGGAAACAAGTAAGTTCTGAGAGCCATTTTTAACTATCCAAGTCAACATTCCCTGTGTTCTATCCACAGAATCCATATCACTTTCTCATGCTTCCCAAAGATACAGCTATGATCAAAATGCAAGAGATTGCATATACTCAATACAACCATGAAATATATCTGTACAGTATTTGTATGGAGATAGTTTGGCATGGAATCCAATACTGTATATTTCCTAGGGTTTTAAAAAGAAAAGTTTCTAGCTACTCAAATGCAAGACTATTTGAAAGATTCTGTCTTTCAAGAGATTGACAGCCATTTTTTCCAGAATGATATAGGTGCTTGAGCAGGAGGTTGGACTAGAAGATGTCCAATGTCCTTTCCAATTCTGTTATTCTATCATTCTGTTGTTCCTTTATTATTCTGTTGTTATTCTGTTATGTCCATCATTTAATTTATTCCTCCACTGCGTGGAGACAGTCTCTGTATAAAGGGGATCTTTTAGTGTCTTCTTTAATAGCAGCTGTTGGGAGGACGTTGAATCTGACTAATGATAAGGACCTTCTGAATCTTTGGGATATCTAGCCGGTTGGAGAAGGTATGCAGAGTGACTCGAGAAACTGTTTCTGGGTAGAATTGAAAAGTCTGCTAGATACAAAGGAGACATGGGTTTGGAAGCTCCTTTAGACAGACCTGATTTAGATCCCTAGTGTCTCTACTGGCTGGCGGCAGCTCGTCTTGGTATTCAACCAAAATCTTTCTAAATTCTGCAGAAGTCACACCCAACTAATTTGCATGAAAAACTGATGTCCTTCATTTTAAGTTGGAGTTATGACAACTCCAAGAGCAGCAAATAAAGTATTTTATTTAAAATGTTTTATTTTAAAGCATTTTAAAATAGCAAATAGCATTTGAAAGCAGCAAATAAAGCATTTTATTTATTCTTAATAAAATAAATAAAAAAAAGAGACTATCTTACTTCAAGCCGTCACATGCACTGATGACTGCAGTTGAGTCAGCATCATTCTGAACGTAACCATGATAATAGCAGTGATCCTGTACGGGGACAAGAGGACCACACTGGTTAAAGCTTGTTTACAGTGTGATTTGATGAGCAGAAGTGCAGTTCCAATGTATTCCACCACATCAATTAAACATTAAGGCATTTTGATTCAGGAGGACAGAAAATTTGCTTAGTATTGATTGTTCCAAAATGAACATAGAATAAACACAAATATCCATAAAAACAAGTCACACTGCAGGGAGAGCCCCCTGATGGTAAAATGCTAAGAACTTTTGGGCAGACAACCAACACACAAATAGAAAATGTTCTGTTGAAATTACAAGCCTTTTTCTCCACCAACCTTGTCTTCTTGGAGATCAACTCTAGTGATGAACTACTGGATTTGCTGAATGAACTGTCAGACTTGATGATTGTCCTACATTCATCTTACCATACCGTATGAAAAATTCCACAGTTACTAATGATACCAATTATTTGTTATTTCCTTGAGCCCACACAATGAAAGCTTTCAGAAATATACACAGAGATATAATTCCTAGCATCACCTGGAAGCAGAATCCATGTAGACATTAAAGTCAGGAGATTTCTGTTACACACACTAAGTAGGAGCAATTTGTATGAACTTTGAAGATGTTAAGCCAGAAGTAGATAATTTTTGGACACAGAGGATGTACTTTTAGATCAATTTGGGGGGAAGGGGCCAAGGACTTCATGAAGCATGTTAGTGCTGTGGGGCCATTTTAATGTGAGAGGTATCAAATTAATTTCTGTATAGGAGCAAAGTGAATTTCTCTCACTTTTAGTATTACGAACAAATGATTTTGCATTTATCACTGTAATCTGGTTTAAAAACGAAAAGGTAGATCTTATAAACCTGATGTTATCATAATAAATCTGTTTGTAAAACTCACTCCCCAAAATGTTTGCTTTTAATCAATAGGAAAGAACTATTTGATTGAAACATTGCCCTACTAATTCAATGAATAAAACAAACTGGGTTTAACAATCCTTACATCCTTATATGAATATTTCGGTGTAAGATACTTTATACATATACAGTCTTTCTTGTTTGAGTAGCCTGGTCTGGTACGTACATATTTGGAATATTCTGCTCAAATATTCCTCTCAATTTATTTCCTAAAAGTAAGACACTCTGGATATTACCTGAACCAGAGGGCTTGTTGTGATTTCTCTGCCATCAGGGGAATAATGAGTTTCACTGTAATCTTCTGAAAAAAGTCCTCTGAAAAGAATGCAAAGAAGAGAGTATCTATGTCAGGAATTAAGTAGGACAGAGATAATTTTATAATAAGTCTACAACTACTCTATTTTAGCGTATTCTTTGGTATCAAGGGAAAGGAGCAGGCATTTCAACTTCATGAGGTTAAGAGGAGTGCTGAGCATACTAAGGAAAGAGATTTGTACCAAGGAAGCTGTGCAATTCTCTTCATCAAGGCTCAGAGGTGGTATGATTGACCAGGAGAAGATGTTTCATTTTTTTCATTTCATTTTATTAAATTTGTATACCGCCCTACTCCCGAAGGACTCAGGGCGGTGAACAGGCACGAAATAAAACACATAAATACGAAAGTTAAAACATGATTAAAACCTAATTAAATAATTTTTGCCCGAGACAATTTAAAACCCCCAATAATTTAAAACGAATTAAAATTTGAGTTTAAAAATTTAAAAGAAGGGAAAAAAATTAGGCCAGGCCGACCTGCTGGAATAGGAGTGTCTTCAAAGCACGGCGGAAAGGTAATTCAAGTGATGGACGGTTATGAACCTTGAATGGTTCAACTTTATCTAAATTGTTATAGTCCAGCAATGTACCATAGAAAGCACAAATAAAAAATTCTCACTTCAGGGGTAAACACAATTAACATGTTCACCAACTGAACTTCTGAGTTAACATACTTATTTCTTTCTAGGTGAAGGACCACTGGTTCTCCATTCACTTGAAATTCATATTGCATTTTGTCTTCATACTTGGTCTGAAATGCAAAGAGTTCAGGGTTTATTTAAAAAATAGTCAAATAAAATGTGTACCGTCTTAACAATGCTACACCTGTGTCACATGGAGAGCTACAGCCAAATTACTTATTAGATTTAGAGTATTCCATCTGGTGCTTGAAGGGCACTATAAAATCTTAAATTAAATTAAACTTTCCTGCATCAGTTCAAGATCTCATTCTCCAGTTGAACATCTTGGTGAATGAAGTTGGGCTGGGACAGAGAGACTGACTAGCCATCCAACGATGGACTTGAATCTGCTTCTTAGTCCTAACCTTGGGCTGTAACCACTATACCATCTTCAACTAGAAACACAACTTTTATATTTCAAAATGATGTATTCTGGGAAGCTAGAAAGTATAATTTCATATATATCACAGTTGTTACAGTTGTGACCCAAGAACATAAAAAGGAAGGAAGAAAAAAAAATCACCTATTAATAGAAAATTTATGTTAGGCAGAAGTAACCAGATTCACACATGTAAAGTTTAAATTAACTACTTTATTGTATTCTGCCTATAATACAGGAATCTCCCTAGGCTTCTTCCCTTCTCTTCAGAACAGATAGATAAAATCTATTGGAACTTTCTGGGGTGGGGGGAGGTGGATGTCAGTCCTGGATCTGTTGCAGCTATGAAATGAGTCAAGGCTAATTCCCTCTTCTCTATACAGCTGGGTGTTTCCCAGGACTTTATTAGTTATAGTAACCTATTAATATTAGGAAATTCTGTTCTTTTTTTTTTTTTTTGAAAAAGTTTTATTTTAGATTAAAAATAAAAAAATAAAAAAACACAACAACAATAACATAAAAATATCATCCTTATAAACAATTATAGACAGCATCTCAATCGGTTAAAATCATTTCGTGCTTACAATTCTCCAAATCTCCTCATATAGCAATTATTCTTTACTTAAACTGAAGATAAATATTTAAACTTTTCATATACGCTATCTCATCTCCATACTTTCCAAAGTATGGAGATGAGATTTCCAAACAGGAAATTCTGTTCTAAGTTGCCAGAAGTCTCCTCAATTTTGTGTGAATTGGTCATCCATATAAATTTGTTGAATGAATGAATGAATGAATGAATGAATGAATGAATGAATGAATGAGGTATGTAGATTGCAATGCAAAAATCCAGATAATCATTAGATGGCAGCAAAGGAATACCAAAAGCTCTGTTGGCTGACAAGAAGTAATTTGCTGATGAAACAGAGGTCTTTTTCTTACCTCTTGCTCAAGATTCTGAACTCCTTTGGGCAATGCAGGAACTTTTTGCGGATACACTACTTCATAATCATTAACATTCCCAGATTCCAGGATTATAGAGCTCCCTTCATAAGGAAAAAAAGAAAGAAAAGAAAGGTTTGGTTTACTTCGGGGTGTTATTCTATCATTCTCACATCCACAACTCAATTTGTTCTTCAGTTCTCAATGAAGGATGGAACCTTTTTCTGGGGAACGCAGCACAGAAATCCAGGTTTTCTCTGGGTATGCAATTTGCTGAATGATGCTTGAGATATGGGAGACTAACTGGAGATATTGCTAAATAATAAATAAATAAATAAATCTCAATGAATGTGCAAGTTTGTGTACTGAGTGATAAGGATAACATGAGAAACTGTAAATCACAATAGTCTGATTCACACAATTCAGTAAACCATACTACATTATGGTTTAGTATAGCCATTAGTCAAAAGGCTAGGGTAAACGTAGCTTGTTATGCAAATATAATTTATTAGGAATTCTTTTCAGTTGAACTGCTATTTCACTGCCATCCTAAAGCTTTGGTTGACTTTCCTTTCTTTCACATTCATAAATAGACCATAGCATCATAGTTATCACTGGGCGACCTATCATGTACATCAGAGGTGTCAAACTCAAGGCCCACAGGCCCGATCCGGCCTGCGATGTGGTCAGATCTGGCCCGCAGGGCCGTCCTGGTCTACCCAGTGCAAAGAAAGATTAGGCCAGCATAGCTTCAGCCCGGTCTACCCAGTGGTGAAGAGGAAAGATCAGGCCAGCGTGGCATCGGCCTGTTCTACACAATGTGAACAGGAAACATGTCAGCAGTTTGGGGAGTTGCATCAAACTGGCCATGCCCATCCAGTTGGCCATGCCCACTCGGCCCCCCGAAGTCAAAAACAGCCCTGATGCAGCCCTCAATGAAATTGAGTTTGACACCTCTGATGTACATAATCAAATTGAATGATTTCAGAATTAGACCAAAGTGGAAGAATTTAGGGTTGATTACTATGTGCACATTCAATGGTCAGCTGCTATTTGTTTCTTAACATGCTTTGTACCTACAGGTCCTCCAGGAAGTATGATCACAACTGAGACCAAAAATTGTTAACAGATTAATGGACCCTATCCAACAAAATCAATTTCAATGTGGAAAAAAAGCAAAGTTTGACATTTAGGCAGGAAAAATCAAAGGCATAAATACAGATTAGGTGAGATCTGGGTCAAAAACAGTAACTGTGAGAGGGACCTTGGAATTTTAGTGGATGGTCACTTGAGAATGAGCCAGCAGCGTGCAGTTGCAGTCAAAAAATCTAATGCAATTCTGGGTTATATAAACAGAGGCATAGAATCAAGCTCATGTGAAGTATTAGTACCACTTTATAAAACCCTAGGAAGACCACACCTGGAATACTGCAACCAGTTTTGGACACTGGTTTGGGTGACATGATAGCAGTATTTCAGTACTTGAGGGGCTGCCACAAAGAAGAGAGGGTTAAATTATTCTCCAAAGCACAGAGAAGGCAGGACAAGAAACAATGGTTGGAAGCTAATCAAGGAGAGAAGCAATTTGGAATTAAGGAGAAACTTCCTAACAGTGAGGACAATTAACCTGTGGAATAGCTTGGTTCCAGAAATCATATGGATATTTTAAAGAAAAGTCTAGACAGTCACTTATAGGTATAGGTTCTCCTGTTTGATCAGGGGGCTTGACTAGAAGACCTCCAAGGTCCCTTCCAGTTTATTCTATTCTATTCTATTCTATTCTATTCTATTCTATTCTATTCTATTCTATTCTATTCTATTCTATTCTATTCTATTCTATTCTATTCTATTCCATTCCATTCCATTCCATTCCATTGGAAGGGAGGGGGTAAGGTTGTATATAAAGCTTATAGTTGCAACAAAACTATAGTTGGAAACAAAACAATAAACTAAAATATCAATATCCACAGGGCATGAGAGAAAACCTGCTAGCCAAACACCTACATAATTGATACTGAAAGACTGAATTCTAAGCATAACTAGCATTTGGCCTTGGAAATGTGTCTTCTGAGATTGATGGGCATCTTCCAAAAGAAGCCACAGGTAGAAGAATACATCTTCCTCATGCCCATCTATGTACCTACCCATTTATACCTGTGCCAGAAAGATGGGAGGGGTTCAACTTCACCTACTAGCAAGCAAAGTTACTATTCCTCTCTTGCTCAGAGCACAGAAAAAGCATCAATTTCCCTTCCATCTCCCTTTCTTCTTTATTATATTGTTCTTCATAAATTATTATTCTAATTTTGATAATTTAAGATAATTTAAAATCTTGCATTGAGAAAAGTTAATATTGTATTACCTTGAGTACAGTTGGAAGATTGTTTGAAATAACAATAGCATTTTCTTTTGTTTGGCTGAATATTATCCTAGCTTAATTACAGGATGTCTAATTGACGTATTGAAAGAAAATGAAAACTGAAAGCTCTTTATTTTTCTTTAACATTTTGCTTCCTGAAATTTTCTTGCCACAAACTCTGCCTCTCTGTCCTCTTCAGTCTTCTAATCCTTTTTTTTTATTCACATTATTGGAAAACCTTTTCTCCAAATGAAAATGCTTTTCTTCTGGGGATAATAAGACTTTTCTTTCTTAGACTTGACAAAATTTAAGCAAATACCCCAAAACCATATATGTAACTTTAGAACAAATGTGAGCTTTGAGAGCAAGCACTCTTTTGCCAAGTCTGTAGAAACTGAAGTGAAAGAAATTTTGGTTAAGCATCAAAAGAAAAACCATAGAAATTTGGGGGGTGCCATAGACTTTTATCAGTAAGAATCTGAATAATTATCTGAACTGAAACCGGAGTGAACCGGTAGCATTTCACCCCTGATCCAGGAGTTACTTGATCTCTGTTTGAAGACTGACCTTTCTTTGTGCCTTAGATCGGAAAATTCTTTGGGGAGATTGACCCAGGCCTCATGCGAAATCTCATTAATATGTCCTTGTATGCCTTCAACAAGTCTTACGACTATCAGTCGGTGTGCGATCCAGAAGATGAACCGAAACAAGGAGCAGGACTTCGCTCCGTCAATGTGGTCAGTAGGCATTGCACCTTTCCGAAAAAATTCTTTACCAATGCCTCAGTTAGCAACAGTAATTTGATTCCTATCGCTTTGATTCATTTTTGATTCATATCGCTTTGGCTTTGTTACGATCGCTAACTAATGCCGGTGTCAAATCTAAAATGATGAAAAACCGAGGAAAATAAGAAAGAAAATACATATTGAGAAGGGCATAGAAAGGGTGTAAGGAGCCATGGTGGCGCAGTGGTTAGAATGCAAGATTGCATTCTGCCACTGCCTGCGGTTCGATCCTAACTGGCTCAAGGTGACTCAGCCTTCCATCCTTCCGAGGTTGGTGAAATGAGGACCCAGATTGTTGGAGGCAATGTACTGCCTCTGTAAACCGCTTAGAGAGGGCTGCAAAGCACTGTGAAGTGGTATATAAATCTAAGCACTAGTCCTAGTAAGTGACGTCTACAAGGTATTAAAAAGAGATTAAAAGATTGGCAGCAAGTAGAACACCCAGCCTTAGAAATGATGATGAAGAAGATATTGCAATGGTGAATAGCTTCTGCTTTTAATGATCAACCATCAACAGTCAAGAAATACAGTATATCACACACTAAAACAGCTATAAAGGCCTTGGAAATGATATTGAGATGCCATGATGTGTCTACACTTATAAAGATCAGAACTGTGTAAGCCTTGCATTAGATGTCTACAGAAATTCTCAGTCATCCAGGTTATGGTTGTCCCAAAGATACTTTTTTCAAAGGCAACTAGACTTTGTTTTTTCTTTGAAAATGTTTCTCTTCTCTTCTGAGAAGAAGCTTCTCGGATGAGAAGAGAAAGGTCTTCAAGAAGTGAAACATCTGAAGAAGCTTCTTGGATGAGAAGAGAAAGTCTTCAAGAAGTGAAACATCTGAAGAAGCTTCTCGGATGAGAAGAGAAAGGTCTTCAAGAAGTGAAACATCTGAAGAAGCTTCTTGGATGAGAAGTGAAAGGTCTTTAAGAAAAAAACAAACTCCCGTTGCCTTTGAAAAAAGCATCTTTGGGACAAGACTTGTGTTACTTCATGGATGTGAAAGTTCGACTTCAAAGAAGATAAAATAAGAAGAGTATTGAGGCCTTTGAACTTTGGTGTTGGAGAAGACTATTGAAGATACCATGGACAACCAAGGAAACAAGCTGATGGACTATGAAACAAATTAACCCAGATTTCTCACTTGAGGTGTAGATGACCAGGCTTACATTATGCTACTTCGGACATGATATGAAGACCCAGCTCTCTGGAGAAGGCTCAGTGGGAGGGGAAAGGTGGGAGAAAAGAGAAGGACAATCAGGAGCAAGATGGATGATGGCCTCACTTACAGTACAGTTACAGTAGCAATGAGGATCAGGGATAGGTTAGGGTTAGAATGTCATGGAGAAAAATCTATGTGGTCACTAAGAGTCAACAGTTGTATAATGTTTGGGTATCCCAAAGCTGCTTTTTCCAAAAGGCAATTGGACTTTGAAATGAACCAAAGAAGCTTCTTGGATGTGGAGTGAAACGTTTTCAAAGAAAATTTCAAGAAAGTCCAGTAGAATGGAATGGAATGGAATGGAATAGAATAGAATAGAATAGAGAAAGAATAGAGAAAGAATAAAATAGAGTAGAGTAGAGTAGAGTAGAGTAGAGTAGAATAGAATAGAATAGAATAGAGAAAGAATAGAGTAGAGTAGAGTAGAGTAGAGTAGAATAGAATAGAATAGAATAGAATAGAATAGAATAGAATAGAATAGAATAGAGAAAGAATAGAGAAAGAATACAGTAGAGTAGAGTAGAGTAGAGTGGAATGGAATAGAATGGAATAGAATAGAATAGAATAGAATAGAATAGAATAGAATAGAATAGAATAGAATAGAATAGAATAGAATAGAATAGAATAAAGAAAGAATACAGTAGAGTAGAGTAGAGTAGAATAGAATAGAATAGAATAGAATAGAATAGAATAGAATAGAATAGAATAGAGAAAGAAAGAGTAGAGTAGAGTAGAGTAGAGTAGAGTAGAGTAGAGTAGAGTAGAGTAGAAGAGAAGAGAAGAGAAGAGAAGAGAAGAGAAGAGAGTTGGAAGGGATCTTTGAGGTCTTCTAGTCCACCCCCTGTTCAAGCAGAAGAACCTATACCATATATCAAAAGTTGTCTTTTGGAAAAAGCACCTTTGGGGACAACCATGTCTTGGATGATTGAGAACCTCTTTAGATAATTGTTTGGGTATTAAGAGGTACAGTAAAGATATTATTAGCATTAACAATATCAGCATGTTAAAAAAAAAAACTAATAAAACTTAGCCTCCCAGAAAACCAGAGGTGACAGTGAAATTCCATAAAATAAATAAATCAGTCAATCCACATCTGGAGGTTGGATGGAGAGAATCCATTGGTGTTTTCAAAGATTCTTCTAAAATTCTGCTCTTTGTTTCCTCTTTTTCTAGCCTACCATAGCAGATATTTTACATCTTGGATGGTGGGCATCTGCAGCTGCCTGGTAAGTTGGAATTTACAGACAGGATCATTACACATTTGAAACGTATGAATGTCTTGATCAAATTCTGTAAGGATAGGATATAAAATAGAGTCAGAAGGGACTTTGGAGGTCTTTTAGTCCAGGGGTACCCAAACCCTGGTCTATGGACCGGGCTATGGCATGACATCTCCAGTCCGTGAAAAAAACACTCTCCGTTCAACCAGTCCTTGATGCCCAAAAAGATTGGGGGCTGCTATTCTAGTCCAACCCCTTGCTCAAACAGGACACCCTATTCCATTTCAGACAATTGTCCAGTCTTTTCTTAAAGACCTCCAGTGATGAAGCACTCACAACTTCTGAAGGGAAGCTGTATCTTTTCTTTTATGTACACTGAGAGTTTATGCAACCAAAGACAAATTCCTTGTGTGTCCAATCACACTTGGCCAATAAAGAATTCTATTCTGTTCTGTTCTGTTCTGTTCTGTTCTGTTCTGTTCTGTTCTGTTCTGTTCTGTTCTGTTCTATTCTATTCTATTCTATTCTATGACTATCATTAAGTGTTGTACCTTACGATTCTTGACAAACGTATCTTTTCTTTTATGTACACTGAGAGCGTATGCACCAAAGACAAATTCCTTGTGTGTCCAATCACACTTGGCCAATAAAGAATTCTATTCTATTCTATTCTATTCTATTCTATTCTATTCTATTCTATTCTATTCTATTCTATTCTATTCTATTCTATTCTATTCTATTCTATTCTATTCTATTCTATTCCATTCCATTCCATTCCATTCCATTCCATTCCATTCTATTCTATTCTATTCTATTCTATTCTATTCTATTCTATTCTATTCTATTCTATGACTATCATTAAGTGTTGTATCTTACGATTCTTGACAAACGTATCTTTTCTTTTATATACACTGAGAGCGTATGCACCAAAGACAAATTCCTTGTGTGTCCAATCATACTTGGCCAATAAAGAATTCTATTTTGACCACTCGGGAACCATCCTATATCTACAGCTGTTTTGTAACATCCTACAGTGACAGGACTGAAATTTATGATGTTTTTTTGTCATCAAGAATCACATTTAGTGATAGTCATGGGTTACTAATAAGCAATCAAATCGTACTAGGAAACAATAAAAACAATATAAATTGTAAAGATACAAGCAACATGGTTATAGTCATAAGTGGGAGGATAGGTAATTAGTGGGATAGGTAATAGGAAGGATGAGAAGATTAATAGTAGTGCAGACTTAGTTTGTCAGTGTTGAGGGAATTATTTGTTTAGCAGAGTGATGGCGTTCGGGAAAAAACTGTCCTAGTGTCTAGTTGTTCTCGTGTGCAGTGCTCTATAGCGTCGTTTTGAGGGTAGGAGTTGAAACAATTTATGTCCAGGATGCGAGGGGTCTGTAGATATTTTCACAGCCCTCTTTTTGACTCGTGCAGTATACATATCCTCAGTGGAACGCAGGTTGGTAGCCATTGTTTTTTTCTGCAGTTCTACTATCCCCTGAAGTCGGTGTCTGTCTTGTTGGATTGCAGAGCCAAAATCCAGAGGTGTGATTATGGGAGGGGGGGAAACGGTGGCCACCAGAACTTCAGAACCAGGCTGAAAGTACCTTTTGAGGGTTCCGTCCTAACTCTGAATGGCCACTAAGTGACCGGCCGTAAGTCGAGGGCTACCTGTGTACAAAACATGGAATTAGCAACAGAGGAAAATGTAAGAATTCTTCATTGCTGGGGTCGCTATAATGGATACTGATGTGGTTGTTCTATCTCTGTGTTGTTATTTGTTGACCTAGGTCTATTTTGCAGCAGCTGGTCTGGGGGCTGACCTTCCCACGTTTCCTTGGGGCAGGTAAGTGAAGAAAACGGGAGAGAAAAGTTGTATCCATCGGCAACGTCACACAGAGGTGACCATGTTTTTTGTTCCACAGCGGAAGTGGAAGAAGATGATTTCAGCGGCTTCCCATCCAAGCAGAGTTGTATCACGGTACAAACGCAATATTTCTTTGGGTCTGACGATAAATCCTTCAATGGCATTCTGGACTGTATCAACTGTTCTAGGTAGGTGTCATTTTGAAACTCTTAATGCATTCACCCCCCCCCCTTCATAATACCTTGTTTCCCCAAAATAAGACATCCCCTGATAATAAAATAGCCCAATCGGGCTATTGAGCGCATACCAATAAGGCCAAGCCAGGGGTGAAATCTAATCTCTTCCCTTTTTAAATACGTAAATTTTAATCTGTTTTAAATTATTGGGGTATTTTAATTTGTCTGGGCCAAATAATTTAATTTGATTTTATCGGGTTTTTAAATTTTGTGTATTTATGTATTTTATTGTTGGCTGTTCACTGCCCTGAGTCCTTCGGGAGTAGGGCGGTATACAAATCAAATAAACTAAACTAAACTAAAACTAAAATTTGTTACTACCGGTTCTGTGGGCGTGGCTTGGTGATGGTGGGGGTAATGTGACTGGGTGGGTGTGGCCAATTTTTTTTTTTTTTACTTTTAAAACCATTTTTTCTACAACCTCTTCGGCGAAAAAATGCTTTCAAAAGGCTCTGACGATCCCAGCTGAGTTGCCTGATTGGCAGAGGTTTTTTTTTTCTTTTAAAAGCCTCTGCCGATCAGGCAACTCAGCTGGGATCATCAGAGGCTTTTAAAAGCATTTTTTTTACAACCTCTTTGGCTGAAGAGGTTGTAGAAAAAATGTTTTTAAAAGAAAAAAAAGCCTCTGCTGATCAGGCAACTCAGCTGGGATCGTCTCCGCCCTTCTCCGGAGACTATTTCAGACAATATTTGCAACGACTGTTGTTCATTTTCTAATACTGAAATTCCCTGGATCTCAGCCTTTAACTGTTGGGTGTCGTTTGGCTTTTTTTTCTTCTCAGGCTTTTTCACGCAGAGAAGATTTCCAACACCAATTTGGTTTTCATCATGAGTGACAGTAAAGAGTTGTGTCATCATTGTGACACGAGGCCCCTGATGCAAGCAGAGAAACCTGGTATCCTTTTCCGCTTGACTTGAGACTGGATTTCTATTTTGCTTACAAAAGAACATTGGAAACATCTGGAGAATATGTTTCAAAACTATAACCCAGACCAGTAGTTGTTTTGTGTCTGGGTGTTGGTGTGATGTGATGTTATTCTTTTTTTTTTTTTTTTAAAAGTTTTTTATTAGTAATTCAAGTTAAAAAACAATAGGCATGGTTTAACCTCTCTGGTTTTCACCATTATCGTCAAATTTAAGCAAATACATAACATACGTCTTTATCTTTGTACAAATGTATGTTACTTCTTGCATGTCAAGTATATATATATAAATTAATTCCTTCTAAACAGCTACATCTATACTGAATATAATCATATCTCACACATACAGATTTAACATACGTTGACGTGTCCATTTCTAGACATTCATTACACCTTCATCTTGGCATTCCTCCTCCTGTCCAACCGGTCATAAAATTTAGTCCAGATTTCGTAGTACGCTGATTCAGTTTTATCCTTGAACTTATCCAAGGTAAGTCGGTCCATTTCTGCACAATTGAGGATTTTGATTAGCACTTCTTCTTCTTCTTCCAAGGGGATTTCTTTACTCTTCCATTTTTGGGCAACGTGATGTGATGTTATTCCATACCAGCTTCCTTTCTGTACGGTCTTAAGATGTTCATTTCCATTGACTGGTTGATTGTGTTCCATTAAGTCAGTATTCACCTTTAGCAAGTAGACAGAGATAGACCCTCTCCAGGGTAAAACATAAACATAGCTTTTTTTTTTTAATTTGATTTATATGCCGCCCTTCTCCAGAGACTCAGGGCGGCTTACAATGCGTTAAGCAATAGCCTTCATACTTTTGTATATTTTATACAAAGTCAGCTTATTGCCCCCACAAACTGGGTCCTCAATTTACCTATCTTAGAAAGGATGGAAGGCTGAGTCAATCTTGAGCCTGGCGAGATTCGAACTTACTAATTGCAGACAGCTGGAGTTAAATTACAATGCATTAGTCTGCTGAGCTATCCAGGCTCCCAGCTTTAGAACAATACCATTGTTATTTTTTTTTAAAAAAAAAAGCAGTTTGGTCTAGTGGTGAAGGCACCAGGCTAGAAATTAGGAGACTGTGAATTCTAGTCCTGCCTAGGCACAAAGGACAGTTGGGTGACTTTGGGCCAATTACTAGGAGATGGGGAGTTCTAGTCCTGTCTTAGGCACAAAAGCACCTGAAGGCAGGACAAAGAAACAATGGAAGGGAACAAATCAAGGAGACAAGCAACCTAGAACCAAGGAGAAATTTCCTAACAATGAGGACAAAACAACCAGTGGAACAGAAGTTGCCTTCAGAAGTTGTAGGTGCTTCATCACTGGAGGTTTTTAAGAAGAGACTGGACAGCCCTTTGTCCGAAATGGTATAGGGCAGTGATGGCTACCCTTTTTGCAGTCGCGTGCCAAAAGCGTGGGGAGCATGGGGGGGGTTTGCATGTGCCCACACCCATAATTCAATGCGCCCCGTGCATGCACACCCAACCCCCCGTGTTTCCCCCGCTTTTGGCACACGATGGGCCTGGTAGGCCCATTTTTTTTGCCCTCCCCAGGCTCCAGAAGCTTTCTAGGAGCCTGGGAAGGGCGAAAACGGCCTTACCCACCCACCCAGAGGCCCTCTGGAGGCTGGAAATGACCCGTTTCCTGATTTTCACTGGGACTGCAAAGCCTGTTTTTGCCCTCCCCAGGCTCCAGAGCCTTTCTAAGAGCCTGGGGAGGGTGAAAAAGGCGTCCTCCCCCCCCGAGGCTCTCCAAAAGCCAGAAACAGCCCATTTCCTGACTTCCGGTGGGCCCAGAAGGCCCAAAACTCAGCTGCGTGCGCCAGAGCTAAGCTAGGGCAATGCTCATGTGCCCACAGATATGGCTCCGCGTGCCACCTGTGGCACACATGCCATAGATCCGCCATCACGGGTATAGGGTCTCCTACTTGAGCAAAGAGGGGCTGGACTATAAAACCTCCAAGGTCCCTTCCAGCTCTATTCTGATTGATTGATTGAAGCGGTGCTGGGAACAACGTTCATTTCCTAGCAGCGTGTTTTCTGATCGTTGTGATTCTTTCCTTGCTTTGGATTGACCCCGTGCCTTGTGAATTCTGGCTTTTTCTTGCCTCTTGTGTTGTGGATTTAATTTTGTCTGATGGGTTTAATTTCATCAGGAAACTTTCAAGTGCCTGGTGGACTCACTGGCCATTGCTCGGTGGATTAGCATTGGTCTGTTCAGGACAGTCTTGGGTTTGGGGTGAAGGGAATTGGGGGAATGTTAATAAACCCACTAAACCACAGTTCAGTGTTTCCCAAGGGATGCGGTGGCTCAGTGGCTAAGACGCTGAGCTTGTCAATCGAAAGGTCAGCAGTTCAGCGGTTCGAATCCCTAGTGCCGCATAACGGGGTGAGCTCCCGTGACTTGTCCCAGCTTCTGCCAACCTAGCAGTTCGAAAGCACGTTAAAAAATGCCAGTAGAAAAATAGGGACCACCTTTGGTGGGAAGGGAACAGCGTTCCGTGCGCCTTTGGTGTTGAGTCATGCTGGCCAAATGACCACGGAGATGTCTTCGGACAGCGCTGGCTCTTCAGCTTTGAAATGGAGATGAGCACTGCCCCCTAGAGTCGGGAGCGACTAGCACATATGTGCGAGGGGAACCTTTACCTGTATCTTAAACCACAGTTATGTGTGTGTGTGTGTGAGAGAGAGAGAGAGACTGGGAATTGTGAGAGAATTGTGTTGTGTTCCTTAACCGATGGGCAGATGAAGGACCGAACCCTTGTGAAATGGTTCAGCATCCCAGATACAGGAAAGGGCCAGATGCTTGCTTTGACGACGCTAAAGTAAGTCTTCTCTTCATTTAGATGTAAGATCTTTCTTTTTTTTCCTATTTCTCCGTTCCTGAGAATAGTTTCCATCTTTAATTGACTTCACTCTCTCTCTCTCTCTCTCATTACACATACTGCTCCCGTTCCAGATCAGAGCCCTTCTAATGCAAATGTTCTCACAATTAACCTTAAAACTGACGACGGCTGCTTTTTTCTGAGCTGCCTTGCCTTTCAGCGATGGTGCTTTCACACACAATTCCTATCTTTTTTTAAAATAAAAAAAATAAAATGAAAAATATAAGACAGTCTGTGCTGGATTTCTCTGCACAGCCATGGCAATCTTCCACGGTGTCTTTGACAACCTTGAAAACTGACCTTTTCGATATTGTGGGTTGTTGTTGTATTTTTCCGCTCCTTTCTGACTCACTTTCTGCTTAATGCATTTTCCCCCCATTCCAAATATCTCTTTATTTGTGGGCTCATTGTGAATCTGAAGGATATTCTGTGCCTCTTTGTTTCGAAGAGGATCCCTTGTAAAAGGATGGTACGTGATCCTGATGATGCAGATATACTGTGTTTCCCCGAAAATAAAACCCTGTCTTATATATTTATATATATTTTGTAGGGCTTTTATTGGGCAGACATGCAAAAATCAAGCTAGGGCTTACTTTCTGAGTAGGTTGCTATTTTCAGGGAAACAAAGTAATTACCCGTGTTTCCCCGAAAATAAGACCCTGTCTTATATTATATATTTGTAGTGCTTATATTGGGCAGACATGTAAAAATCAAGCTAGGGCTTACTTTCTGAGTAGGTTGTATTTTCGGGGAAACAAAGTAATTACCTGTGTTTCCCCAAAAATAAGACCCTGTCTTATATATTTTTTTTGTAGTGCTTATATTGGGCAGACATGTAAAAATCAAGCTAGGGCTTACTTCTGAGTAGGTTGTATTTTCGGGGAAACAAAGTAATTACCCGTGTTTCCCCGAAAATAAGACTCTGTCTTATATTTTTTGAACCCCAAAATAAGTGCTTGGCCTTATTTTCGGGGAGGTCTTATTATTTTGGGCGTGTGGAGCAAGACGGGGCTCCTCTTGCCATCTTACCTGATTTCCAGCTCTGTCTCCCTAACCCTAACCAGAGGAAATGGTGGGGACCGACTGTGCATGCGTTTAAATATTTTCGGGGAGGGCTTATTTTCAGTGGGGGGCTTATTTTAGCGCATGCACTCAAAAGCCCAATTGGGCTTATTATCAGGGGAGGTCTTATTTTCGGGGAAACAGGGTGCTTAATTTTGCTCACGTTATGAAGTGCCCACGGTATTTTTTAAAATAAAAATTGGCGTCCTGACAATTGCTGGAATCCAGCAAAGCAATTTCGGGACAAATATTTAACTTTGACAGAAAAAGTTAGATCCAAGCTAGATAGCTAACAACAAAAGGGACTATACATACACAAATATGTGTGTGTGTGTGTTAAAACATCGCATACCAGAACACAAAGATTATCTTGACTTTCCTGAGTTCAACAGGGGAGTCCTCCATAGAGTATATCAGGGGTGAAATTCAGCAGGTTCTGACAGGTTCTGGTGAACAGGTAGTGGAAATTTTGAGTAGTTCAGAGAACTGGCAAATACCACCTCTGGCTGGTCCCAGAGTGGGAGGGAATGGAGATTTTGCAATATCCTTCCCCTGGAGTTGGGTGGGAATGGAGATTTTGCAATATCCTTCCCCTGCCACACGCACCAAGCCACGCCCACAGAACCGGTAGGGAAAAAAATTGGATTTCACCCCTGGAATATATATGTGTGTGTTAAAATACCACATATTGTAACACAAAGATTATCTTGGTCCTCTGTTCAACAGGGGATTCCTCTGTAGAAATTCAGATCAGTATTTATACAGAGCATGACATTCATGAGAACTCATGATTTAAATAATTTTTTTAAGCAATTTTTTCTTTCTTTAAAAAAAATGGCTCACACCGTACTTGTGAAGTCAAAGTTCTCTATCTTCATTTGGGATTCAATATTTGCTTCAAAATGCAACGAAGTCTCCATCTTCAACACTTTCTGCCCAACCAGAAGACCGCCAAGGTCCCTTCAGTCCTAGAAGTCTATGATCCTATGATTCCAGGAGAGTTTTCCCCCAAGCCAAAAATTTTACAGTCCAAGATCCGCGTCATACATTCAGTTTAGGTCGCAACAAACACGTATGTGTGAGAACACCAGAGACAGGTGTTCGAGCCGTGAAAATGTTGACACACGAGAACTTCCTGGGAACAAAGGTGAAGGACTCGCCGAAACATTTGATGTTCTCCATGATCGACAAAACTGGATATTTGTGTGTGAACGTACAAAGGACTCTTGCTTATTTAGCTTGATGTGCTCTTCTCTATGTTAGTGACGTAACAGTAGCGTTTTGATATCTTGGGTTAAGTTTCCTTTCCAGTTTTTCTCTGTAAGATCTTTTGCTTTTTTTTTTTTTTTTTTTTGCTTTTCACATTATCTCTTCTATCGGCCAGCCAACTTTGCATGAAATTTCATCTTCTGTGTGTTTCTTTCTGTGTTTCCTTTCCTTTTCCTCTGTTTGCGACTTTGCCCCGTTACTAATAGGATCAGCCTCTATGCACGAGGAGCTTCGCCACTGCCATGACGCCCACCTCTGTCTTCATTTTTCTGCAAGTTTTCATGTGGTGTGGATGGTCAGTTCCTTTCTCTAATTTTGTGTTTTGTTTCATTTCCCTCGACCCAAAGTTGTTGTTGTTGTTTTTTGCAAGGACACAAAGGGAACTAAGAATGCATATAACCGATGACATTATGAAAGGGAGGGCTGATGGATGTTAGGCTTCTTCAGAACTTGGTTTCTCTCAGAAGGGGTTAGGAGCTGTTTAAGATCCTTTCCTTTCCTTCCCTTCCCTTCCCCTTCCCTTCCTACATTTTCCTTTCCTTTCCTCTCATCCCTTCCTTTTTTGTTCTTCACTTCCTTCTGTTCCCTTCCTACATTTTCCTTTCCTTTCCTCTCTTCTCCTCTCATCCCATCCCTTCCTTTTTTGTTCTTTCCTTCTCTTCCCTTCCCTTCCCTTTGCTTCTCCTTCCTACATTTTCCTTTTCTCTGCTCTCCTCTCCTCTATTCTCCTCTCATCCCTTCCCTTCCTTTTCTGTTTTTCACTTCCTTTCCTTTCCTTTCCTTCCTACATATTCCTTCCCTTCCTTCCCCTTCCCTTCCTTTCCTTTCCATTCCCCTTTCCCCTTCCCTTCTCTTCCCTTCCCTTCCTCTCCTCTTCCTTCTTCCTTCCGCCTCCCTCCCTTATCAGTGTCTCTCTTCCTTTCCTTTCCTTTCCTTTCCTTCCTTTCCTTTCTTTTCCTTTCCTTCCTTTCCTTTCCTTTCCACAACTAAATTTGGGGCCTCTTAATGGGGGCATTGGGGTTTTAAATGCCAAGAGTTGGTTTTTATAATATCCAGTGAGTAAGAGGCACTTTTTGAATAATCTAGCATCCTTTCAATATTTAGTGCTGGTTGCTAATCAGGAAGCTCAATGAGCTGACTTGTAGTCTCTGAAAAATGATGTTATTGTGGGAAAGACTGAATCCATGTCAATGCATTTACCTAAGGGATCCCTAACTTCACTTTATGCCATAATAGATCTTTCCATTTTTAGGAGACCCTGGAGCCTTTGTATAACATCTGCACCAGTCCTCTATTATCTAAAACAAAAGATGTATGTCTTCATGGTGCAAATTTCAGCGGGCAGACTATGCATCCAAAGTGAAAACTGTCAGCAGGATGGCTTGCCTTCAGAAGCTGTAGGTGCCACAGCACTGGGGGGAGGGGGGGGTTTAAGAAAATATTGGGCAACCATTCTCTCCAGAATGGTATAAGATCTCTTGCTTGGACAGGGTGTTGGAGTAGAAGATGCCCAAGGTCTGGACAAATATAAAGAAATGGTTAGAAAAGATAACCGATCAAACAATAGAAAGAAAACCAGAAACATTTCTACTAGGAATATTTACGAGAACATATACCAAAGAAATAAAATATCTGATTTTATACATCATAACAGCGGCTCGAATAACATACGCACAAAAATGGAAACAGGAAGAAACACCAACAGATGAAGAAGTGATAAAAAAAAGTTTTAGAATGTGCTGAGATGGACAAATTAACAAAAGTAATTAAAGAAAAAGAAGAGACAGATTACTATACAATTTGGAACAAATGGTATGTATGGCTTGAGAGCGGAAATAAAGAACAACAGAAATAGGGGGGAATATAAAATGTAAAATATGTATGCAACAAATATATATGTGTATATTTGTATATAGTAGCTAATTGTTTTAAGGAAAAAAAGTTAAGCATTAATGGGTTTTTCAGGCATCTGAAACAAATGCGTAGAAATGTATAAAATTAAGGCTATTAGGATTAAAAAATATATTGTAATCAATCAAAAAGGGGACAATGAAGAAAATGAAACAATATGAGAGACATGGTGGAGGGGAAATCACAGTGGAAAGCAGACACAAAGAAACACTTGTTAAAAAGAGGATATATTTATATGTTGTATGTTGTGTGTTTGTCATAATGTGTAGTAATAAAACAATAAAACTTTTTTTAAAAAAGACTTTTGCAATGAGCTTTCTGGAAGTGAGAACTTGGTTCTATTTTAGAATGAAGAGATTAAAAAATACAAAATTCCAGGATTGAGGTCATTTTTCATAGCTGCTACACAACTGGACAATATCAATCCCTGCAATTAATGAGCTATAATCATGAATTTCTATTATTTATTAGAAAAATTATATTTTTTATTTTTTATCCTTTTTGCTTGTGATTTTTATGTTATATTTGTTGGTCAATTATTATCTATTCTCTTATGCCATTAGTTATTAGGAACTAAATCAAATGATCTTGTCTTGGTCAAAAAAAAGAAACAGAAAGAGAAAACTCATCAATATAATTTAAGAAAATTGTTGCATAAAAGCCGTACAAGAATTTCTATTAATCTCTTACATTAATCTACCATCTTTTCTCCATGGATCTCAAAACAGAATACATGGATCACCCTTCATTTTATCCTCACAGCACCAATCTTGTGAGTTACGCTAGGCTGAGAAAAGTAAGTGTCCAAAGTCATCCAGTGAGGTGCATGGTAACTGGAAACTTAAACATGGGTATCCTGAACCCAATCCAACATCTTAATCTATATCCGTGATGGTGAACCTATGGCACGCGTGCCACAGGTGGCACGCGTAGCCATATCGGTGGGCATGTGAGCTCAGGTCTGGTGCACATGCACGCGCTGGCCAGCTGATTTTTGGGCCTTCTGGGCCCACTGGAAATACGGAAACAGGGCCTCCAGGGAGGGGAGGCTGTTTTAACCCTCCCCGGGCTCCTAGAAAGCCTCTGGAGCCTGGAGAGAGAGAAAAACGGGCCTACCGGGCCATCGCGTGGCAGGAGCGGGGGGGGTCATGCGCACCTGTGTGGGGGTGGGGTACATAAAATTATGAGTGTGGGCACGCACACATGCAATCTCCCCCCTGCAGTTTCCCTGCTCCTGACACACGATAGCAAAAAGGTTAGTCATCACTGATCTATATCATACTGGCACTTCAAAAATAGCAAAGTAATTTTAAAAAAAATGAATTGGAAATCTAGGCTAGACTCAAGAGATTTGCAAATGGTTCAAAGCATGCTTGGATCATTCTTTCTTGTTTCATCATAGCTGTCAAGTTTCCGAAAGATGCCTTAATTAATTCATGAGCCATGATCCAAACTTCAAAGGAAATATAGTCATTTATTAGGAGCAACATTCCGGCAATACTGGGATGCAGTTAGGACTGATCTTACATAGATTTACGTTCCCCTATGACCCTGTCTCTCCCCTCGTCTCTGGCTATGTCATAAATCACAGTAGCCTTTAAAAAAAACACCTGAGTGGAGACCACCAGAGAAGTAAATATTTTCTCCAAGGAACTAATACAGTGATGGGATTCAGCCAGTTCGCACCATTTCGGGAGAACCGGTTGTTAAATTTCTGAGCAATTTGGTGAACTGGTTTTTGGAAGAAATCATTAGGGTAGAGAACCGGTTGTTAAATTAATTAAATCCCACCATTGAACTAATATCACCTTTACCCTGTTCACCATCTGATAGAAACTTCACTTCAGGTCAAGGAAAAATTAAAAATGTTTGTGTGGGCACAGATGTTGAAAGTTGCTGACCAAAAGCTCTCCTGAGTCACAGCACCAACAGACAGAAGGCTTCTGTGAGTTCCCTCCTGGACAAGAGGATGATACTTTACTGTACTTGAGAAGAAATGGCTCTGTGCCAAACCATAATATTCCATAACTGGCAGCAGTCATTTCAAACACACTTATAGCATTGTTGCATTATGATTAAAGTCTTAATTTTCTTGGAATGTAGGCATCAAAGAAAGATGGGCCAGATTAAAGTCTTTGGAACTATGACCTGTTCCTGGAGAGCTCTGAATATCAGCATTGTCCAAAATGTACAGTTCCCATAATACAATTATAGACATATTTCCAGGCACAAATAACTGAAAACAATCATAGAAGATAGAATAATACTGTCAGAAGGGACCTTTGAGGTCTTCTAGTCCAACCCCATGGCAGGAGATCCTATACCATTCCAGAAAAAAATGTCTGTCCAGTCTCTCCTTGGAAACCTCCAGTGATGGAGCACTCACTTCCAGAGGCAAACCATTGCACTGATTAATTGTTCGCACTGTCAGGAAATTTCTCTTTAATGATTTTCCACCTATTACTTCTTCTCCTGCTCTCAAGTGCTTTGGAGAATAAGTTGACTCTATCTCCTCTGTGACGGCTCCTTAAATCCTGGAAGACTGCTATCATATCATCCCTAACCGATCTCTTTGTTAAAGTAGACATCCCTTTCCCAAAAGTGCTTTTTCTGGAGGCAACTGGACTTTCTTGTTTTTTCTTTTGAAGACATTTAGCTTCTCATCCAAGAAGCTTCTTCAGCTTTGACAGGATAGTGGGGAAAGGAAGGGGAATGAATCCTGTCAGAGCCGAAGAAGCTTCTTGGATGAGAAGTGAAACGCTCTCAAAAGAAAAAAACAAGAAAGTCCAGTTGCCTCCTGAAAAAGCACCTTTGGGACAACCATGACCTGGATGACTTGTAGACGTGCCTATTTTCCTCAATCATTCATCATGATTTAGCCTCAATTCTATATTTATGCACTTGGTTATTCTTCCCTAACTTATTTTCTTACCACTGAATTGCATTTTGTTGGATAGGGCCCAGTGTTCAAGTATCTCAAAGTCATTAAGAATACTAAGCCTATATGCAAAAGTGCTTGCTGTTCCCCACCATCCATCCAATGGTGTACTGTCTATTTCACATTGGAATAGAATAGAATAGAATAGAATAGAATAGAATAGAATAGAATGGAATGGAATGGAATGGAATGGAATGGAATGGAATGGAATAGAATAGAATAGAATAGAATAGAATAGAATAGAATAGAATAGAATAGAATGGAATGGAATGGAATGGAATGGAATGAATGGAATGGAATGGAATGGAATGGAATGGAATGAATGGAATGGAATGGAATGGAATGGAATGGAATGGAATGGAATGGAATAATAGAATAGAATAGAATAGAATAGAATAGAATAGAATAGAATAGAATTCTTTATTGGCCAAGTGTGATTGGACACACAATGAGTTTGTCTTGGTGCATATGCTCTCAGTGTACATAAAAGAAAAGATACATTCGTCAAGAATCATAAGGTACAATACTTAATGATAGTTACAGGGAACAAATAAGCAATCAAATCATATTAGGAAACAGTCAATATAA